TTGCATTGTTGTGAATATATCTGTCATACAACTTTTGCCAATTCAACTTTTTACAGGTGTACATCTTCTGGACCGCAATTACAACAATCAGCTGTGCAAAACTACCCTTAATCAAAACAAGTTTTCTATCACTGTTAGCCCCCTTTTCCCCTCTCCTTCCTGCCCCTAGTAACCACAAATAAACTTTGGTCTCTATACATTTGTAATTTCTTGTCTTTTTATATAAGTGAGGTCATACATTATTTGTCCTTTTGTGATTGACTTATTTCATTCAGAATAATTTCTTCAAGCTTCATCCATATTGTTGCATGTGTCAAGACTTCATTTCTCCTACTGGTTGACTAGTATTCAATTGCGTGTATGTACCACATTTTGTTTATCCATTAATCTGCTGTTGGGCGTTTAGGTTGTTTACACTTTTAAAAGGTTAAAAGGGGTGGGAGGCAAAGCTAGGCTCCAAGCCCCCTAGAACCAGGAAAGGGAGGGACCAGGAGCATCCAGGGACCACAAAGTGGCAGGTTTCAGGTAGGGATTAGGTAAGAGGAGGATGCAGAAGTTTCCAAGAGCTAAGGGAGACAAACTTGTCTGTCAGTTTGTCATCCAGTGAGGCTTGTACATTGCTATGAGGCTTGAAGCTGTGCCACTGGTGTTTCAGACGCCAGCAGAGTTGCACATGGTGCACAGGTTTTAATGCAACTTACAGACTAAAACAGACTAGGAAGGAGGAGGCCATTCACTTCTCAAAAATTGGCTAGGGAAAACCTTATGAATATCAGAGAAACACTGTCTGATACATTACTGGACAACTTTATGAATAGCTTGTCTGACACAATGCAGGAGGACTAGGCCCTTGGCTTGGAAGGCACTCAAAATGGGACTAGGAAAGAGCTGCCTCATTAGAGTATAAGCAACCTTAATGATATGGGTAAGGTAAGTCTTTCAGGACCTCCATGTGCTGACATGGGATGACTCAAATTGAGGAGCAAACATCCATTAATAATAGGAACATGGAATGTACGAAGTATGAATCTAGGAAAATTGGAAGTTGTTAAAAATGAAATGGAACGCATAAAGATTGATATCCTAGGCATTAATTAGTGAGCTGAAATGGACTGGTTTTGGCCATTATAAATCAGACAACCATATGCTCTACTATGCT